TTTCTCTAATTTTTGGTCTGCAAACTTTAGTTAAGCATTCAGAAGAGAAGCTTAATGATATTATTACCCTGTAACAGGCAGTTGGGCTTAACATCACCTATCTGTCTGAATATTAAACACGTTAGACATAACATAGAACTGCTATTTTTCAACAACCATAGCTATGCTAAACTTTAAATCCCTATAGAATGTGAAAAAAAGACAATTACACATTTTTACACAGAAATTTAAAAATAAATTTCTAAACCTTACACAACATTGTAGCAGGATAAATCTATGACTTTTTTTTCTTGTCTCTTGTTTTCTTTTACTACCTTTTTTTCCCCCATTGAGTATACCAATGGGGGATTTTTTTATACCCCTATTGAGTATAGCAATAACTGATACGACATTAGAAGCAATATGCATTTAGAAAACCAGAATGATAGGTATTCCAAGCATGGGTTTTAGTATTACGTATTGTTATCCTCAGTGTAGTTGCTTAGTTCACAGGTATCAGCATATATAGTTAGGGTGAGAATTCTGCCCATTAACTATTTTGAAAAACCTGATGGAGCTTCTTAGGACCATTACCTTAACCATTTTGTTTATATAAATGTATGGTTTTGCCCCTGTCATATTTCCTAACTTTTCTCCTTGCTCCCTGAGCTTTGCTAAACTTGTTCTAAGTAGGCGCTTTAGACCACTGAGCCATCTCACCAGCCCCACACCTTTCAATTTTTATTTCCTCTTTTGAGTTCTTACGCTAGGGATGATTTCTTTTTTAAAGCAAACCTTTATTTTTAGGGTGGAAACAGCCTCTCAGTCCAACCACCTTAAGGGGAAAATGTAAACACCCCTCTTCCAGTGTCCATTGTAGTGGAGAGAGAGAACCACTTCACCTCCTGCTCCCTGCCAAGCCCCGTTGTTGGAGAAATGACCCCCTGCATCTCTCCAGGGGGGAATCCAGCACCTTTGTAGCTGCCCTACCTGGAGGCCACCCACACTTGCATTTGAAGGCCTTTGAAATGTTTTTTAATTTTTATTTTTTAACTCAACATTTGTTTTCAATAATTTTGATTTTTTTTTTTTTAAGTACTGGGGATTGATCTCAGGACCTTGAGCTTGCCAGGCAAGCGTTTATTCTATTGAGCTATCTCCCTGGCCCCAAGCAATATAAGAATCTGCTGTGGTTTAAACAGTGGTTTGAGTGGATAGAGTTATAACTTTGATTGCCCTGTATAAACAGCATTGATCACTCCAAGTAAAATGTGCAGACCATTTAGCCTTGGGGCTCTGTCTTTGGTTGATTGTACTCCATAGCTGTGCTGGGCGAGCTGCTAGCAGCAGCTTAATGGTCTTAGTACCTACAAAGGGTTTTCTCAGGCTCACATTATCTCCTAAAGCTTTAAGGGAGGGAGCTATGGCCTTCTAGCCATGGCCTCTGTGTGCAGTCACTGTGTGTGCCCGCTGTTCCTCTGGCTCTGACCACTGAATGTTTTGTTTTTCTTCAGATTTTAAACATTGATACTATCTTAAGCCTTATGAACTTGTGAAGCCAGCCACACACACAGCCAGTGCTAAAGCCATGGCATGTCATAGCCATGACCACCCTACTTAGCACCAGGAGCACAGGTCTCAGGCTGAACCTGTCATGCAGATGTGCAAGCGGCTGGGAAATCTCAGTTGGGTCAGCCTAGGATAGGAGTGGGTGGGAGCGTGGGGGACCTCTCTGATCTCAGTCCCTCCCCCTTGTACCTTGCTGCTTGCAACCAACTGTGTGCAATTTATTTTTATTTATTTATTTATTTTTTCAGAAAAGAAAAATATTTATTTTTTCTTTTTAAATAATTTTATTGAGAAACAAATAGCAATGAGGCAGTTTCAAAACCGATTACTAGCATAGTTTCAATAATTTCAAACTATTATTACTAGCATAGTTTCAACATTGCATATTGTTGTCTTAGTGGTTATTCATTGTACAAGTTGCAGACATGATATCCTGTCCAGGTCCTGATGGATTCACAACTGTGTGCAATTTAAAAGAACTTTTTTTCCCTTTCTTTAAATCTAATTCAGCAAAGCTAGGTTTAAACTCTATCTGTTGTATCTTTGCTTCATCCTCCTTGTCCTATTTAGGACTCAATTTTAAAACAGTACTCCACACTAAGTCCTTTATGGTGATCTTAAAAAAGTTACATATATACAGGAACCAAGAAAACAACAAACATTTTTATATAAATCTATATACATCTATAAACATCTATGGTTTTTGAGACTCTGTCCTATTTTTAACTAAATCTAACCTTTTTCCTTTTGGCTTTTTGTACATTTAACAATTTTTTTTTTACCTTGGGAATTATAAGGAATTCCTGTGATAAAGGAAATATGAAAAGTTTACAAAGCTTTTAGAAGTTTCAAACATTACCTATAAGTAAATGATCCATCTGGTTGTTTCCTGCTCACCATAGAACCAGGCAATGTAGTATGAGTTTTTTTTTCTTTTTTTTTTTTTTTTTTCTTTTTTTTTTGTGGAACCAGGGATTGAACTCAGACCCTTGCGCTTGCCAGGGGAGCACTTATTCCACTGAGCCATCTCCCCAGCATGAGTTTTAATATATATAATAAAGAGAGGATGATTTCTATTTCTCCTAAGCTGCTGTAGCATAGAAAACAACTGCATTAATTTGGAACCATCCAGAATCAGAGTAGCAGTTTTTATTTCTTTTACTGCCTGTTTTGTACACTGGGAATCAGTGACAAGTTTGATGAATCAGAGCAGTCCTGTATTAACATAATGCCAACTAACTCTATCTTTTGAACACAGCAAAAAAGAGTTTGTTTTTATCTTTCTTTTTTCTTTTTCTTTTTGACAATCTATTTTCATATGATCCAATTTACCACAGTTGAAACAAATCATATGGGATAAAACTTCCCAATCACGAAGAATTAATCTATGTTCATTGGCTAATGCTTGCATTAATTCAGTTACATGAGTTGACTGCATCATTAGGTGAGTGTCGCTGAGACACCACAGGAAAAACTAAGCCTCCGGTTCTCTGTTTTCTTTCTTGCAGTAAAGCCTGAGTCACTGTCCCTTATCCTCATATTCCAGAGGAGCAGAGGGTTTAGCTGGGGGAGAAGGCAGAGATTGAACTCTAGCAAACATTGAAGATGGAGTTGAAACATCCAATTGCTCCACCAGTTTGGATATCTTTTACAGGACTAGCCTCCTGGGTCTGCGGAACAAGGGGGAAGGTCCAGGAAAGCGAATTTCAGAGCAGTTTGCTCTCTGCTGGAGACAGGGATTCCAAGGCCAAGGAAATCAAATTACACAGGGACCACACTCTAGCTTCTTCTATTTGACTAGTTCTGTCTAGATCTCTTATAACTTGTTTGTAAACTTTTAAGTTTAAAGCAGCTTGTCCCTTAGGCTGTAACCAATGACACATGCCTCTTTATAAGAGAGCATAATTCCTCGAAAGGCTTCGGTTTCATTTTAATTTCCGCTCTTAAAAAGGTAAGACGGACATATTTACTCTCCATTAGCCGGGCATAGCGGTGCATCAGGAGGCTAAGGCAGGAAGATTGCCATGAGTTCCGGGCCAGTCTAGGTTACATAGTGAGTTCAAGGCCAGCTTGAAGTACAGAGTAAGAGTATTTTATTTTATTTTATTTTGCGGAACCTGGGATTGAACTCAGGCCCTTGCCCTTGCCAGAGAAGCGCTTATTCCACTGAGCCATCTCCCCGGCCCCAAGAATATTTTAAAAGAAACAAAGGTGTCTTCAGGTTGAGCGTGGGGTCAGTAATATTGCAATTCCACCCTTCCTTATTAGGTGTGAGACGGTGGGCTTGGAACCGTCTCTTGGAGCACTCCCCCCCTTACCCCCCCCAGACGTTCGGGATACTGCTCTCTAGGGGCGAGAATCTCACTGAAACGCAAAGAACCTAGCTAGGAAAATCCGCGCTGAAGTTACTTTCAAATTCTTCGTGTGCCCTCCGCCCTGCTGTCACTCAGAGGCAAAGGGGCGGGGCCATGGAATCGGTCCAATCAGCACCCGGGGTAGACAGCCTTGGAGGACGTACTGCGCCTGCGCTGTGGAGGTAGCTTTGCCTTTGGAGCGCAGGGGGCTAGGTCTCCGCTGGTTAAGTCAGTGTGTCCTTTGTCGCACTGTCATTCCAGGTGCTGAGGGTTCCAAGACTCGGAGACGCCAGCAGCGTGAAGATGGCAGTCGTGAGTGTAGGGCTGGGAGCCTCGGGACGCTGTAGCCACTGCCGAGCCGCGTGCGCTCCGCGGTCGGAGGTCGGGGTCCGGTTCGTTCAGGTCCCCTCGGCTGCGGGCTGTGCTGGGCCTGCATCCGGACTCAGCTCCTGGCGGTCCCTGCATGGGGACGCATGTCGATCCGGACACTTCTCTGGGCAGCTCCGTCGCGGCGCGCGTGTCCCCAGCCTGTGCGGACGGCTGGAGGTGGCGGGAGCAGCGCGCGCGGATTCTTGCGTGGGGACGTCGGGTCTGGATCCTTGGGTGTCAGGAGCGCGCACTCGCGTCGGAGGCCCAGGCGGAGCGGGTTTTGAGCCTTGTGAAAGAGCGGGGACCGGCCCTGCCCGGAGACCTGTGCTCTCGGGGCGGACCCCTCTGCGGCCGCCTCCGCCTCGCGTGGCCCTCACTTTTGCTTGGAGGTGGGGGGGATGGGGGGAGGGTCTGACCTCGGAGGAGGTCTGGAGTTTTCCTTCTGATTTCATTATTAAATATGCCCAACCTTTAGTTTAATTTTCCTTAGCACTCCACTTTTATTCCCTGTGGTCATCACTTGCCATTTTCAATTTCTTGCGGGAAAGATAAGAATCCATTGATTACAAAGAGATTCCCTAAGACATGAAACTTGTATTTGGTACAGGGTTTCACCACGCAGCTTGGACTGGTAGTGATCCCCCTGTTTTCAGCCTCCCCAGCGCTGGGATTACAGGCATGCGTCACCACACCCGCTCTCAGTGGCAACTCAGTGCTCCTGGGGGCAAGGCCAGTGTGGCATGTGGTGCCAGGAATACGCAGGACCCTGCACTTGCCTAAACAGGTGCCTAGTTCGTTGAGCTGTCTCACGAGCCCCCATCTTTCTTTTTCTTTTTCTTTCTTTTCTTTTTTTAGGATAAAACCTCAAGATATGGAATCGTGGTCATGTGCATTTTATAATTTTTCTGTATGCGGGGGATTGAATCCAGGGCTTTCCCAGGCCTAGGCAAACGCTATGCAGTCAGTGACTTCCTTACTCCCACGGCTTGCAACTTGGGCCTTCGAACTGAACTTCATCCCCAGTTCTCTTTTCAATTTATATTTTGAGACAGGGCCTCCTTAAGTCCCTATGTTGTCCAAGTTGGCCTGGAATTAGTAAGTCTTCTGCCCTTCAGTTTTCCAGAGTGCAGGGATTGCTACCATGCCTGGCGTGAACTTCTGATTTTTTTTTTTGCGGAACTGGGAATTGAACTCAGACCTTTGCACTTGCCAGGGAAGCACTTATTCTACTGAGCCATCTCCCCAGCCCCAAACTTCTGATTTTTGTAATAATGCTATGTTGAGCCGCGCATGGTGGCACAAACCTGTAATTCTACCACTTGGGAGGCTGAGGCAGTAGGTTTGCCAGGATTTAGAGACCAGCTTGGTCTACATAGTGAGTTCAAGAGTAGCCTGAACTACACAGTGAGACTCCTGTCACAAACACAAAAAGACAACAAAAACAAACAAAAAAGATATGAAAAGCTGCTAAAGTTAAATGTAGGTCGTTAAAAATTATATATATATATATATATATATATATATATATATTTTAAAGTTATGTTTTTAAGGGGTTGATTCCTACCTAGTAGATAGTATACTACCAGTTTGAGATAATATCCCCCAGTATTTGATATAGTGGAAGGAAAATAATGATGCTGTCTATGATTTTTTCAATATTTAAACAAAGTTTATTTTATTAAAAAATTTATTTTAGTACATGTTTACAGTACCTGATTATACTTGTTGTGGGAATTTTTGTTATTTCAGTCAGAAAGATATTTAATACTGCTTTTATTTTCTGTAATGCATAATTTTGAGGTTTTTTAAAAATTTATTTTTATTTTTTTAATTGTACCAGGGACCTTGTGCTTGCCAGGCAGGCACTTATGTTGCTAAGCTAGCTCCCTGGCCCAACTCTTAGTGTTTTACTTTTTTTTTTTTTTTTGCAGACCTGGGGATTGAACTCAGGCCCTTGCGCTTGCCAGGGAAGCGCTTATTCCACTGAGCCATCTCCCCAGCTCCAACTCTTAGTGTTTTAAAGAGTAAAATCATAGAATGTTTTCCTTTACAGAAAATTTGAATTTAACAGCAAAAGTAAAAAAACAAAACAAAACAAAACCCAGCAAAAGTAAGTTAATCACAAATGTTATCAAAAGCAAAATATGGCATAAGTAAATATCTATTTTACATAAATAATGCAGGCAAACCTTTAAAAAATATGCAAAACAGAACAGTCTGACTTCAGCAAACTCAACTCAAGTATGTACTTCAGACAATTTTTCCCTCCCTCCCCTGCTTTTTTGGAGTGGGAATTTATTTGACCCAGTGTTTTCACAATGAACTGCACTCCCAGCCCCTGAGTTCCTTTTTGTTTTGAGACAGAGACTGCCTAAGTCACTAAATTATCCATTCTGGGCTTGACCTCAAAATCTTCCTGTCTCAGCCACCCAGAGAACTGGGATTCTGTGCATATGCCACCACACTTGGCTAGAGAGTCTCTTGAGTAGCTTGTTATTTCATTATTTTAGAATGAAGAAGTTGGGCATGGGCATGCCTGTAATCTTGGATTTTGGGAGGCCTAGGCAGGAGAATCATATATTTGAGCCCAGTTTGGGTTTCAGAGCAAGTTTGATGCCACCTGGAGCATATATAGCCAGATTGTTCTCAAAAACAAAGCAAAGGGGCCAGGGAAATGGCTCAGTGGAATAAGTGTTTCCACAGCAAGATTTGTTTTGGGCCAGGGAGATAGCTCAGCAGGGTCCTGAGTTCAATCCCTGGTACCGCAAAAAAAAAAAAAAAAAAAAAAAAAAAAAAA